TGGCAAAGACGCAGAGTCGTTGCAGGACCTCATGCTTATAGCATTGCGGCTTGCGCTCTGACCGTGAAGTCACTCGTCCATGGGATGGACGAGTTCGGAAAGGACAGGAGATGAGCGCTGCTTTCGCTTTGTTCGGGGGTTAGAAGTGGCAGAGGAAGATCGAACTTTGGCCCATAGGTTCCATTAAGGGGGCTCCTACCCTGTGACCTTGTTTTTCCACGGGTCTCATTCTGCCGACGCACTGCCTTTGAAGGCATTATCCAGGGCAACTGGGGATGGAATGGTCTTGATTCTGTGCGAAAGCAAAGCATATGACTAACGCAACAGTTCCAGTCCGATCGAAAAGGTGGATTTTGAAACGGGGAATTCGCTTCGGGAAGAAAAGGGCGCTACTCCATTCCCACCTCCTTGACAAGTTTTGACGTGTAATTGCGCTAGATATACTGTGTTGGCCATGTCCAAAGTTAAGAGGCGGAATTGGAGTACCGCTTGTTTTTCCAAAGCGAATTTCCCGCTTAAAAATCCATCTTTTTCGATCGAACTGGAACTGTTACTTCAGTTAGGAGCAGTTCTCTCACACTGCCCTGGACAATGCCTTTGAGATACCATATAGCATAACCTCCGCCCGCCGGCAAGAACCGGTTTTCTCTGACTATCTTATCTTTTTGTATGCAACTTGTATATTAAAAATCGTAGTAAGACTAATGTAAATCATCTAAGTGCAACTCGAGAACCTTTACCCGGACAGACCAGAGTCATCGTCTCTTGCATCCAAGTTGCGTACCCTTTTTCTAAGCTAGTAACTCATTACTTCAATGTGCGAGCTATTCTCTCCATACTCTACAATCCGAGCTGTTCAGAGCAATTCGATTTATGTGAGGGTTACATAAGGTTGTCTGTGAATTTTCTGCCTTCCGGGTTTTCCAGCTCGATGGCTTCAAATTTTTTTCATAAATTTTCAGTTCAACGGAATGGAAAAAGGAGGCTGATAAACACAAACTAAAGGCCTTCAAAGGTGCTATGTACATTTTACTTAACACCGCACAAAATTTCTGAAGGTAAAATGAAGAAGATACGAACTAACCTACTACAGAAGCTGATAGTACTGACAAGGAAAGGATACTAATTAGATTCGACTTTTGAGATGAGACACATATATTTGGAATCAGCTTTGAACGCTGATTCCAATTATGCTATTTCTAGCTGCTTAGCATCATTCTGAAGCGAGTTATGGTCTTTTTTTCTATGCAAAGTTTGCGTGCATCTCGAACTACTGAGGCTACGGTGTTAACGTCTAGGTGGTTTTGCAATTGTATAATGCTTCCTTTCAAGATCGAAAGAATTAATCTGATGCTAGTTCGATATCCTAGCACTTTTTTCGAGCAGATTCTTATCTATACGCCGTCTTACGACATTCAGAAGAACAGAAGACAAAAAAAACAGAAGACACATTCAGAAGTGTTAATTACTCACAACAACAAGCCCATAACTCGCTTCGGAATGGAGCTAAGCAGCTATGAATAGCATGATTGGAATCAACGTTCAAAGCTCAAATGTATGTTTCACATCTCAAAAGGTGAATTTTAGTTAGTATCCTTCCCTTGTGAGTACAAATTGTGATGAAGATAACAATTCCTCAGTGTTTTCAAATATAAGGTTAGGATTTTAAAAATCAATTTTGCTGGAACCTTTTCTGTATAATTGCGATATTATGAAGACAGATCGCTTTTGTAATTATACTGTCGAGTCAAATAAAATTCTCCAAGGGAGGTCTTCGATACGTGCATATCCTATAATTCTTTGCGACTAGTTGGAGAAAACTATCACTTTTCTATCTTGCTTATTTTGATGAGATGCAGCCAGATCCTTGAACGTGTATGGTTTACATATAGTTTAGAAAATGCGGTGTGATCTTCCAGATAAAGCAGATATCTATAGATGAGAGATTGAAGACCCTATAACAATATAGATTGCCCGTCCCAGTTGTTGCGATCAGAGACACTATTTATTTGACTTTGTTCATTTTCAGCATAGATGCAGTGAATACGTGCGATGAATCCATTCATGGCTACAGATAGACAGTGGATTGTCCTCCTCACTGTCAAAGATTCATTGTTTTTTTGGCATTCGTCGCTATCCCGTAACGTGATTACTCCACGGAAGGTCTAATCAACCAGCCACGGTTTATTCCATCTGCTTACCCTTGAATGCTGGTTTGCTGGTGTAATTCAGAGCTAGGAGTTCCTCGACAGTCCCGTAATTACCCCTGAAGGGGCAGCTTCTTCTTACATTGGGTTTGTTGCTGGTTTATTATGCTGGGTTTTTGCATAATTCTTGCACCTTCTTGAAATTTTTGAAAATTCGTTGCTTTCTTCATCTTAAACAAAAAAAGCGATCAGGTATGGTAGGAAGAAGATGTTCTGCGCTTTTCGTATATGCTTGATATGAAATCCTTAATTGGAATATGACAATCTCAAAGCTGATTAGGAGAAATAGCCAAAAAAACGATTTTTTGAGCTTTGTTTGCTAAAATCGCTAAAACATCTGCTGTGAACTAAAGTTTTTAATCATCAACTAGCTTGCTTATCCGGCTCCGCTCGGCCCTGTCAAAACATTGTTCGAAATCAGCATGCCCACTTACCCCCCTGTGCCAACTCCCAGCCCTACAGCTTAAATTTTGCAAAAAATCGATAAAGTCGATAAAAGTAATCGATAATTCTGGAAACTGATACTGTATTCGGAATCAGCATGCTCGACTACCCCCCGTGCCAACTCCCAGCCCTGCAGCTTACACTTTGCAAAAATCGATAAAATCGATAAAAGTAATCGATAATTCTCAAAACTAATATTGCATTCGGAATCGCCATGCCCGCTTACCCCCTGTGCCAACTCCCAGCCTGTAGATTAACTCTGCAAAGAAATCGATAAAAATCGATAAACTCGATATCGATCGATAACGAAAAGTAGCCTATGACACGCTCCCTGCCCCGAAGTGTATATGTGCCAAGCTTAGTTCGAATCGGTTCAGAAATAAATATTTCTATTCCGCAAATACGTACAGACATAACATACGTTCAACGAGGTCAGCGCCGCGTAGTGCAGTCACACATCTACGCGCGAGCGTTACCGTAGACGCAGCGTGCAGGGGCCATGCTGCGCACAACATCGCGGGTCTTGTTTTTATCATTGTATCTTGTAATTTTTCCTTTATTTGTAGCGGCGTAATGCCATTTTCCTTGCTTCTATGCTCATATGCGATTTGTCTTGGTACCGGATATGTTTCTTTTCGCAGCTAAGGAAGGAGGTATCAAATCTTTGATCGTTTTTCTCATGACATCTTTTCATCCAGGTCTTCTTCAGATGGCTGATCTCGGATGTCTTGATTCATTATATCGACTCTGTTTCAGCGGGCATAATTTTATATCGTCTAGGTTTGAGTGAACCGAGCCTTAAAGGCAGTGTCCCGGCAGATGGCGCTGTTCACTCAAACCTATACGACATACGATTACACCTCATATTTGGCTGTAAAGAGGAAGAGCACCAGCCGTTCTCAGAATTCTCAAATGAATTGGTTTAAATTGCATCTTCTTTTACACCTCCACCTCCATTTTGTCTTCTAATTCGAACTGTGATACTTTGAGAGATCTTAGGAAGAGCACCAAAGTAGGGTTTAGACAGGAAAAGCACAGAAATTTGGAAGCAGGACAGCGAAAAGGCTAAGAAAGAAAAAAGAAGAGCAGCTAATTCAAGGACCACGCCGCTTTGCGCGGCATGGTCTCTGCGCGCTGCAGCCGACGGTAGCGCTCGCGCGCAGGTGTGTAACTGCACTACGCGGCGCTCCCCGTCAAACGCATTGTACATACATACATACAAACACACATTTTATATATAAGAATCTATGGCCTACTCATTATGAATAAATATGTTGGTAGCGATCGGATGTCTATACACATAGTTGAGATATTCTATTTTTCAGATTTCGCTTACTGATTTTTTCAAATTGATTCCCTAAATTGTACTATGAAAACTACCTTTGATATTCATAACAAAGAGCATAGTGCATGAATTGTTTAGTTCGTTTGAGATTTTAAAACGACGTTCTGTTTTTGGTGCAAGAATAATGATCAACCCAAAATTTCCAGAAAATTTTCAAAATTTCCGAATTTGGCGCGTACGTATCACCCTCTGCATTCTGAGGGATGTTGTCGCATCTAGCGATGCACGCGCTCCTCAAAGTAGGAGGCCGAGAGCACCGATGATTCGCACATCCGATCGCGACCACAGCATAGCATTAGCTTCGAAATCGCCGCCGGACCTCTGCTTGCCGGCGCGTAGCCAACAAAACGGCTATATAAGGAGGCGGCGCCTCATTTGCCTGCCCGCTCACTTTCTTCTTTATTGATTACTGTTATCTGCGATTTCAATATTGCGTCATCTGCCTTAAGCTACCGCATTGGATATGTTTTTATTCTGCAAACCAAGCGGTGGAGGGCGACCGCAAAGGCGTCATGAGCCTTAACGGGCGCGCAACATCATACAGGCAATAGGGATCTAGAATGTAGACGCGGCGAGCAATCGCGGAAAGTGCTGGCCCACCCAAGCCGCCACAGATGTAGATGACCAACATTGTACCCTTATTTCCCGTACACTATGTGTATTGTTAGCTAGTGAATTCCCGTACCTTACGGAACGATCTTCTCTTAATACCTTGCAATACCTTGTACTTCACTGCACACTTTGCTTTCACAGGTCCACACTCAATCATAGGGCAGATGTACGTAAAATTCGTAAATTGCTTATCTTGCTCGTTTTTGGTTAAATGTTTATATAACAGACGCAGTTTTCCAAGTTTGAGGTTTCGCTATGCGCGGTACATTGGACCGAAAGCCCAGTATAGCACACAATAGCGAGCCATAACACCTATTTGACCTCCAGGCTGCGTTCTCCTTGCATACAACTTAAAAACATCAAACAACCACTGAAGAGAAAAAGATTTTATTCCAAAGGTTTCATGAGATCTAGTTAACCTAGACAGTAACATACAGATATGTAAGCATGAGGTGAAATTGTGGATTTTTTACAAGCATATACGGCATGGCTGCATATCTCAAGCTAATGCTTAAATCGTGCTGTGGATGGAAACTGAAAGTATAATGTTGTTGGGAATAATTTTATCATGTAAGCCTTAGACTGAATATGTTAGGTTGGCACATAAGCTTTGCTGCTTCACATAAATTTTCTCTTCTCGGATATGGCACTCTCATTTTTTGTATGTACATCAGCCAGTGAGCTGCACCAAAGTGGAAATTTCACTGGGTTAAAAACAAAAACGAAGTTGACGACATTCTCCAGCAGAGAGCGACTTTAATTTGCGACATTCTATCTAAAAGAGAACTATTGGCGTGATTTAAAGAGTACGTATTTGTCCGTGCAGCTGAATCGCTAACCAAAAAGATGGTTTAGCACTTCGTCTGTTCAGCTGTAAAGATGTTCGAATCAGATGCAAATCGTTTTGTCCCTTACAAGCTCTGACGAAGTGGATTTGCAAAAAGTTAGCCATCGAGAAATGGATCAGTTACCAGTCTCGTGTATGGCTTAGAAGGAAAGGACAAGAAAATGAAGCCTTCATTTTCATAACGCCATCAAACTCATTAAGCCGAAAACTGTACATAAATGGTTAAAGTTTCATCCAGAGGCTATTACAATACAGCTTCAGCTTAATAGTTTCAATGACGCTGCGAACAGCTACATTTTTGTTCTAGCGCAGTAGAATTTCGGATTTGACCAGCTTTCGAGAATTGAATCCTTCCCATTCAATCACCAAAAATTAAACAGTTCGAAAACAAGTAGGGCACCATCTAGTTATATTATGAAAAATGCGACCGTCATATTCGAAAAAAGAAAAGTTTCGAATTCAGTTGCCAAACTTATGCGCAAATTGATAAATCAAAACAGCAAAGCAGATGCTAAAGTACGTGTCATTGTTGAACAAGACAAAATATTAGGTTGTCCCGAAAGTTTTGTCCGTTCTTTCAACCTATCATAAAAACGCGTGGAACAGATAGGGAAACGCTCCAAGCACTATCCGGCGCATCTTTTCCTTCTCTTTCTAACAGTCATGCTTCCATGCCGATTAATCGTTTGTTCAGAGATAAACGCCGAATTTCGAACCCATGGTTTTTACTATGCCCAAGTTTGGCAATTTTTTACAGTCTTTATTTTTGACTTTCGGAAAAGCTTTGGCGATAGTTAGATAGAGCAAACAAAGGGCAACATAATGCAATTTTGCGGCATCTATAGCCAGCCTTGAAAATTTTTAGAACTATTTTTCTGATGCTATCAAATTCCACTTTTGGTGATGCCAGAAGGCAGAGATCATGAAACGGTGCACGACTGAGATGCTATTCGATGCAGCTTTTCCTCCTCTTTCCAATGAGTGTATTTTCTTTCCAATTTTCGGGGTCTTTGGCGATAAAATTTTCATAAATCTTGAATTTGACCCCGCTGCGTGTACACGTGAAATGCAAAATCTTATATTTCGAAGCGGTAAACGCTTATTTGCTTCGTAAAAATAGTGAATAATCGTAATCGGTTTTTGAAAGCTACAAAATGCGATGATTTGTTAGTGTTCGAGGCGTTTCTGTATTTTAGAACTTCGCAAAAGTGAAGACATTTGAAAAAAATTATCTTTAAAAATATTGAAAAGCCAGCTAGATATGCCAAATAATTGCATTACATTGCCCTTTGCTTACTCTATCTGAGAGCTATCAAAGGTCTTCCAAAAGTTGAAAATGAAGATTGTGAAATACTGTCAAACTTGGACATAGTAAAAACCATGGGTTCAAAATTTCGGCGTTTATCTCAGTGAACAAAAGAGTAATCGGCATGTGGGCTCGACAATTAGAAAGAGGAGGAAAAGTTGCGTCGAGCAGTGCTTAGAATGTTTCCCCATCTTTGTTCCACGTATTTTTATGATAGGTTGAATAAACGGACAAAACTTTCGGGACAACCTAATATTTTAGCTGAATGGATTCCTTTGATTACATACCTCTAATCTTCTAAAGAAATTTGACGTTTCTCTAGGGCGCGTCGTAAATGGTTGTGGTGTGCTGATATCATATAACGAAGCGTCATTGTAGTTACTGAGATCCTGGAATCAAACAGAACTTGGAATTATATAGCATCGTGTAATTTTTCTCTAAATAATAAAGAATGATGTAAAATAACAAAATAAAATAACTAATAATAAAATGTTAGAATAATATAATAAATTGTAACATAATAACTTTCTGTAGGTAATAAATTTTGCACCGTATAAAATGAGCTCTTGGAAAATTATAAAAATCCGCGACCCACTTTTGAAATGATCAAGTTTCACAATTTTTCTAAATTCTGTATCAACCCACAGGCATGCAAGTAATTCACTATAATTCATGTTTTCGAATGCACCCCAGGCTGTACCCGAAAAATTCGAAAATAGTTATTTCGATTCCGAAAACTCTCATGTGATTTGTAAAATTAGTGCTGAATCATAACACCGTCTAGAAAGTTTCAAATTCCGAAGATTTATTGATGTTTGGTGTATTTATGACTGGCGTAGGCCTGCAAAAATCCGGTTATTTGAATTTTTGAAAATTATGGCGAGATTTGGAAAGAAGAAGTCGTGCTATTCCTATAGGGTCTGCTCTATCCATCTGTTAAACTCATTCGGAAGGTTCATGTAAAGAGAAAATTTGTGAAACTTGATCATCTCAAGAAATATGGGTCGCAGGTTTTGGTAATTTTTCAAAAGCTCATTGGATCTGCTCCGATGAGTCTACAACCGTTAGAAAGAGAATGAAATGCTGCATCGAACGCTACCAAGATTTCTCAGAGATCTTTGTTCCATCAAATGTGGCGCCCCTTTGAAAAAAGCAAAATTACTTTTGAATGACGAAATGACTTATTATACAAATACAAATATAATACTATCTATAAATATGCTAATGCTTACTACAGAGGTGCTATCAACGGCTACACTTCCTCTTGGAGTTGCCAGAAGATCTCTTGATTCTTTCAGCTCCCTAAGTGCACGCTGTATGTCCGAATCGTAATCTTCTTGATAGCTGAAATCAGAAAAAAATTCAATTATGAAACTACTGACTAGTGAGGTATGAAAAAACCTTACGGGACGATGTCTTAGAGGAATCTTGCCCTGCCCCTTCTCACCTTCCCTGTCAAAGAATTAATGCCCCCACAGCAAACATATACACTACATAATAAAGTTCTAGAACCACTAAAATGGTTTTTGTCATGGTAAAGCTCTGGCTATGGTCGAAATGCTTACACTAAATAAATGATTGAATATGTAGGAACATACCTAGAGGAGTTGTGGTTAGGTTGCGAGACTTCTACGTCTAGTTGTCTGACACAGCTGGCCTGAAGTAGTATAGGGGTGAAATACGTAACAAAGTAGAAGTTTCATTGGACAGAGGGGTGAGATTCTCCTCTGAATGGAGGAGGAGGAGGAAGGAGGAGGGGCTTAAGGGCCGTGCATACTTCACGCGATTTGGCAATTCGCCAAAAGTCTTCGGATCCAACATTAGCAAACTGCACATGCCTAGTGCGTACAGTTTACGTAGATTGATAAAATGCCCTAACTTCTGTACATTCAAAATGTGCTTACAGTGAATTATGGACAGTTGGAATATTGCCAAATCGCGTCGCCACTGAAATCGCGCGAAGTATACACGGCCTTTTAGTACCTAGAATATTTCTAGCGCTTCTATTCTGAGGAAGACTACAAAATTATCTCATTTTTTTACATAGCCAAAATTATTTACATGAATATTCTGTAGATCATGATCGGGCAACAACTGCGATCTACTCTCTAAAGAGGGTGGGGGAAGAAGAAAGAACTACAGCATATCCAGGACCATGTTCTTGGGAACAGTCAAATAAGATATTTACCAGATTTTTGTTGAACTTGCGTTTTTTCATGTGATTTTGCAATTTCCATCAGAAAAAAAGAATACCTCGCACAATTCTTGATCATCAGCTATCAGCACAACTGCGTAGGCGTATCGTGGCCGTTCCAGTATCAACTCAGCCGATTCCTCTGCCATTTCATCCACAAAGCTTTCCAGCACCGTTTTTAGCAGATTGCCATCAAAACCCATATCCCTGCAAATTATAAAGGTTTTTATTTATTTGCTCTATGCGACTTCAACTCGCTAAAACTTGAAAGGATTATACAAAAAAGTGCGGAAAAAATCTCTTCCGCTTTCACATGTTTCTATTTTCCTCCTGAAGAACAATGTTCACAAAGTAGACAAACTGGCACGAAAAATTTTTTGCCTAACATGCAAAGTATAGATTTCTAAGACTTCCCGAGTCCTTCAATAGTCTATAGTTGGATCACAAAAATCTTTCTCCATTGCAGATTAAGCTAAGAAAACGAATATGGAAAATAAGTGATGTGAAAGGGAGGCTAACCAAACTGTGTAATGCCTCTATTTACGACGATAATTCATAAGCAGCTATCAATATAACAGAAGAAAATTCTATTCGAAAAGTGCAAAGCATTGTATACATGGGAATGTTATGATGCAAATGTTGTTATACATCATAAAAAGTTCGTTTTATTTATAGCATTTTTAGGCATATAGTATAGAGTCTTGCATGAAGAGAGTTTGCTATACAAAGTCATGAGATTGAACGGAGCTAAAAGTAAATTGAATAAAATTGCCAAAAACATATATTTAATGATCTGTAATTGAACTGGGTATTCAATGCTGAAAAGAAGCACAATAAACAGCAGCCTACCATATTATTTGTATTAAGTAATATTCAGAAAAAATAAAGTGTTATGGAGAGAAGCAAACGTTGCAGAAGCAAAGGTTGCTTTTGACCTGTTGATGACAGTGTGGGCCACAGGTGGCTCACATTTTTCGAAAATTTTGCTCTCATACTCATGTTTCTCATGCCCGAACAGAGGAAATGGATTTTCACTAAAAATTCTAGAAGCTTTGCCTTCATTGCCAAAGTTTTTATCAGTTGAAGAAGCAGCTGCATGTGGTAACGGGAACTACTATGAATTCATAAAAATTTGTGAAAACCGTGTTGTTTTTGGTCAAAAACCGAAAATCTATGAATGAAAAAAATTCAATGCTTTGTCTCATATCCATAGATTGTATACAGAAGACTCATGCAACCCAAACTCCTAGAATTTGTTCCAAGGGCGACATACAACATCTGTACGTCTAGTTGTTGTTGTAATAGTAATTACCAGAAGCGAAAATAGAGCTTAAAGCAGTTGTAGCATGGCCTACGCAATTCCGCTAAATTGTGCAAACATATGGAAAATGTCAAAAATCTCGCAGAGATCAGTGCAAGCGAAAAGAAAAGATTGAAACGGCTGATAAAATAAGTATCGCAGCGGCGGTATGGGTCACAAGATAGAGAATCTTTTGCAAATGTGTCATGATGCCAGATTTTTTTGCATGCAGATTGCTTTTTAAACAAATTCGGACAAATAGATTTCTTGCTCTCAGGAAAAAAAACAAGTAGTGTTACTGCTCACTAATTTCAGCCCAATGGCTGCCACAGCTACGATTTCTGTGAGGAAAGAAACTGAAGCAAATCTGATTGAGATATTTCCTCCGGATAAAAGTTTTCTGGGACCATTCAGGGTACTATATTGCTCTCTTCAGATGTTATTAAACTTTATTGATATGCAGTGGGCCTCCAGTATAATTTTTATTTCATTTTTTTATTTTATAAATACACTCGAGGTGTATGCACTATAAATACACCAGAATAAAAGAAATAAAAACAAAGTCCAAACAAAGTAGACCAGCAAAATACGAATAGAAAAACAAAACACGAATCTCTAGAACGGTAAATATAAATATGTAATTATAATATAATTTTCAAAAAACACTTCATGACAACGCCATATTTGGTAAACATCATAAAAGATAAACAAGCAAACATCTCGGCTTTGTAAATCAATTATTCTAGATAGCAGATCAGTGCTGCAGGGAATACCCTGAGTAGCCTGATTACTTCACGTACAGGACATGGATATTCACTTAATTAGATAAGAAACTCTGCTTTGAACAGTTAGTCCAAAGAAAGTGCAAGAAGTCCTTATTTGTCGGCCCTAATCTAAAACTCAAGTGCCCTAATGGTATCTCGAATATGATAAACTCTTTCCTGTCGCAAATTCGCGTATCGCTTAGTGTCATGTTATCACATGCCTACGTAAATAGACAAACGGGGCCTGATATTTCGTCCAGAAAAGCTGCAAAAGAGGGATGAAGAATATGCGGAGAATAAATTTTACAAAAAAAATTTTTTTTCTAGTCATGCGCCAATAACACTTCAAAAGCAATTATTATGCGTTTGACCTACATATTATCAAAAATCTCCTTCTATAACCAACAACAGCGCTTTGTGGTTGTATGAAAATTTAGCTCGAATAATTTCTAAGTTTCCTCTTTCTTGAACCTCGGCATTGTTAATATAGTGTGTTAGTATGTAAGTAAGCCTTCCGAGGTTAGGCCGCCACTAATAAAGACCTACTTACTCGGAAGGCTTACTTACATACTAACACACTGTACTAGCTCGAATAATTTCTACATCAAAAATGCAACAGAAAAAAAAATATGTTTGAATTTTGGAACAATAATATTTATAATTTGTTCACTTGCCATAATGGCGTGATGATGCTTATATTGAGGGTGAATGAGCTTGAGTATTCTCAGTTGTGTGATAAACAGATATTTCATTCATCTTTTCATAAAACATGCAATACTTAAGAAAAAGGTAAAGGTGACTGAAACACCCACTAACATTTTATGCAAACTACCATTAGGTTGTTACACAACAAAATAATTTCTTTCCCTTTCGAATTGTGTGGAAGATTGTGAATTTTCGATATATACAAATAAAAAATTCAATTTTTGAATTTTCTGAAGCATTTCCGAATGATTTTTGGCGGCTATATATAAAATTCTAATTTGCGTCATTGAAGAGCTCAGACTTATGAACTTTCTACATATTACTACTGACACGTTCGGATGTACATAGTTTTATTGAATTGTCGTTAAAAAAGCCTTGAAATTCTCTATAACTCATGTCCATGAAGGCGAGAATGATGCCAGTAGATAACCCATCGTCCCTTCTCTATATATGCCAAATATGTATAAGATTATACAGAGCCTTCAGAGTTTCCCAGAGGAAGACGAAAAAAATATGACAAAACTCATGTAACAACTTAATAGTACCATAGCTGATCATTGTGTTATTTCCAATTTTCTTGACACCTTATGGGTTATGAAGTTCAATATCTGACTATTGTTGTCTACTACTGATTATGATTACCAAGTCAGAAGATAAATGGTTCTCATCAGGGCTCGGCAAGAGGTGGCTTTCCAGAAATGCAAAAAACTAAGCCCCTTTACTTTCGCAAAATTTTACGAAGTCCCTTTCGACTCTAAACCCTAAACGTAAACACTCAAAAAAACAAAGCGTCGACTAATAACCGTATTTTCGGCACCAAAAACGACATCCATTTGCTTTCCGTCCCTAAAACGACATCCAGGTTGCTTATAGGAAACCTGTGCCGAGCCCTGGTTTTATTCAAACTCTCAGTTTCAATACGAAGCTGATATTTTTCTTATCGCCATTTATATCGTGAAAAACAAAATCCATTAGAAAAAACAGGATATGATGAAGCATAAGTGAATGAACACTTTAAGGATAGATGGGAAAGCTTGAGTGCCATAAATGTTGCGATCAAATCGTATTAGCTCGCCGCATAACGTGCGATGTCATCGTTTAACGGAAAACTGCGTGACTAAAATACTCATCAATCTTTTAAATTCTTGTCAGTGAATGTACGTAAAAATCTACTTCAAGCCACATTTTTGACTTTTATGGCAAAATATATTTCGCATAGTTGTGACTTTTTCACAAGGCCAACCATTTCACCGAGTCCTCTGAATGAGCCGGAAGGTAACAAGAACAGCGGAAAGGGTCTTTTGTACATCTTCTAGAAAATGGGGTACTTGAATCACGGATTCTGCTTCGCAACTCACTTATTGGCACGTCTTAAAAATTTACCCAATAGTTTTATGCGATGGGTAAGCAAGGATAAATATACCTAGAGAGTCTGGCAGATTTGACGATATAAGTGCGGCTACAGTGCAAACAATATTGAAGAGTTATTGTGAAAATCAGCAGAAATCCCCAAAATTCCTAAATGTAGCACTTTAGTTGAGAATAATACGTAAATAGTCTATGAGACGATCGAAGGAAAATATGAACAAATCATGACGTCAATGACTCTTTTATACAATGCCTTAAAAAACTAAAGGGCCCGGGCAAGCGCGCACGCAGTATCCCGCAGCTGCCCCTTAAAGTACCGAATGCTCAAAAGTCCTCCTCCGCAAAAATATTCATACTGTACGTTACGATTCTCTTAGATAAAATGTTAAAAACTGCGGTATTTGTATCCTGGACTCTGCTTAGCAACCTACTTATCGGCATGTCTCAAAAATTTACTCAATAAATTTTTGCGATGGGTAAGCAAGGATAACTGTGCCTGGAGAGTCTGGCAGATTTGACGATATTGGTGCGGCTACGGTGCAAACAACATTGTGAGTGCAAGTCGTGTTTGGACCATGGGCATTTTTTATGTGAAAGTGTTGTCGTCGACAACGCAAGCTACCGCATCAAAGGTGAAATTTATTAAAATGTACGCCCTTTGGTTGTACACCACTTCAAAGATGTGATAGTTTTTGGATATAAAATTCGAAGTCGGAAGATAGCAACGTCTGAAACTGCCTGCACAAAAACAACTTTTGTTTTGAAGAGTGAAGCTTTTAAGGGCCATATGTTGACAGAGTGGGCGCTGTTATGAAAAAAGCAAATCCTCATAGAACAAATTGGATTTTCTAAACTTGACGCACAAAACTGCATATCTTTGGATAAGGAAGGTATTCTCTCAAACATCTCAGTATTATGATTCCTTTGCTACTATAAAACTTTCAATGTATTTTCAAAATAGAGGATTTTCGGTGTGATATAGACATTGTCCAAAGGCTTGATCGAGGAGAAACTCTTCAATTATAATTACAAAAGGTGTAAAACATCGTTAAATAGGGACTATAAGGACTATCTCCACAATAGGGTTCACCCAAGGACAAACAGTTTTTCTCCGGGAAGTTGTATCTGCAAAAATGGTAAATAGTAAAAATAAAATAATTTCTGATGTGATTCTTCAAGAGTATAGGCCAATGTATTGTATGTACAGGCTTCCAAAGAGTAACCACAAAGAAGAAAATGCTGGGGACAATATCAGCGGATTTCAACGGCACGGAACATTAGTCTACGGGCATAGCATAGGAAATGTAAGAATCAAAAGGAAGAAGAAAAGACCACCTACACAATTTCGAGATTTTCTCGTTAGTGAGACGTCGCTGAATCGATTCGTAACTATACTGAACTGTAATGTTGCCATCACGCTGCGTGACTAAACGGATATGATCGGGAAGAGAAAAAGCGAATGGAAAAAGATGTGGCTGTTATGTTGTCACTGAAGAGCTCTCATTCTTGCTGATACTAAATCATAGAATGATGTAAGGCCCAAACCCTGTTCTATGAATTCAAGCAGAGTAAACAAGACCATGGCTTAGGTTCACAACGCTCGAAAAATGTAGGCTTATCGTAGATAGTATTGAAGTAAAATTTACTTGGTGTCTGGGCACGCTAAAACTCGTCGATCAGCATGATAAACCTATTTTAGAAACGACAGAAACTGATATGGAAAAGTGAAATGTCCCAAAAGTTAATTACATTTGACCTTAGAGTCTAGTTATGCAATGAAAAGGTGGATTTGACAAGAGTAGTCCACTTTTTCTAAAAATGGGAGCAGAAAAAAATTCTTTGAAAAGGTCCGAGTTAGATATTATACTTGTTCAGAAAGCTACCCTCTAATTCAACTGGCTTGCCGGCTCGAAGGCGGAGCTTCGTAGCCTAATTAAGGCTAGGTAATGATCAGAGGGCACGCGCGGTTAGGAGACGCAGACTGCATCGCGGACGCGAGCGGCCTCAATTAGGTCACAAAGCCCCGCCTTCCAGCCCCCAAGCCAGTTGAATCAAAGTTTATTTTGCGAGTAATGCAAAAAAATACAGAATTTATCGATAAGTTTGTTCTATGAATTTTTTTTCATCAGACCTTGATGACAAGAAAAAGTAGCTGTGAAGTAATGACTTTTCTGTTCGATACCTTGAAGCACGACTTGGCGATAATCCTGTTAGTTCTGAGTGAGGTTAAAGAAAATGATTCACTCCATACCTTCCTAAAATGTTGGTAAAGTGCGGTAGAAGGATCACAAAGCACTCATTGCAAGTTTTTATAATACGATAATTTTTGTTATGGAATCATTTTAAAAAGTAGAAGTGAAAACAGCATTTTTAAAAATGTTTGCGAATGACAGTTTTAGACCTCAGGCATACTTCACGGTCTTCAATACTCGCGGACTAGAAAATGGATTGTATGTATAACTTTCGCAACCTGGAGCGCCCTATATTGTGTACATTCAAAATGCGCTTACAATGAGTTGTAAGCATTTGAAATATTGCCAAAACGCATGGCGACTGAAATCGCATGAAGTATGTCCGGGATCTCAAGCTATACAACAGTTCATTCTTCGATCTAAATGCAAGACCTTCCTTGGTTTTATGTTTTCACTGGAAGACGTCGAGAGCAAGAGTGCGTAATCGAAGCCAGCAAAACAAGATCAAAAACAGATTCAGGGCGTTCTGGGTAAATATTTTTTTACATTAGAAAGAAGCTGGTGGGGTTATTAAACCATTATGCTATACATGTTACGAGATTTAGTCGATAAATCTGGGTCAAGTGAGCAATTATCGTAGCGCAAGAAGTCGTTTTCTGCTCGAACGTGTGTCTTAAACACGAATTATAAATTTGTTTTTCCATCTGCCACCGGCAATAAAAATTCAAGATGAAAGCAATTCCAATGAAGAGATTTTACGAGAACCAAAACATTAAAGGGTAATTTAAGGGCCATTTATTCACAATTAAGCATAACGAGAATACTCCACACAGTCAATGTCAACTTTTACATTAATTATGAGAAAATATGTAAAAAGCTGGAGATACTTATCTACTGCCGATAAGAAAGAAGCAATTGCAATCAGAGCAGAGCCCAGTGATTTAACGACTAGATCTGCTCAAAGTGGTCGAGTGGGGAACTTATTTCAAGTATGAGATCGTCCGTTGTCCAGCAGGATGGGAGAGCTCGTTGAATGCCGAAAGACTTTAATTTCGATCAAATCTCAAGTGAATAGTTTTTTCCTCGGAGTATGCTAATGAGCTTCTCCCTATGCAGACAATCAGTCCTTTCATTGTAATTCTCCAAGTCCGATAGAGAATTTACTTCTTCATAAATGTTATTAGGAGATAGGGAAATAATTCATGAGAAAACTATCCAAGTTCTTTTTTCGAACAACTGACTGTGATATATTGTCATACCCTTTGATGATACTGGTTACAGCGAAAGCTAGAAAAACATGTACCAGTGAGAAAGCTTTTGTAGAAGGGGAAGGAAATTTTTGAAAATTTGAGAAAGAAGAAAATTGTATGAAAAATGAAAGTTTAAGGACTTTGTTTGGAGTGAAGCTTCCGAGCAAAAGCTGGAGACAGTCAAATAGTTATGAAGCCATTAATGAATCTATGCTTACCTGAATCTTTCAAAAATTATACAGCTCTCGCCTAAAATTCTGTACTTCTTTAGAATTATAACTTGAGTGAAAATGAGTGATGCCAGCAAATCATTGAGGTGGAATTTTCATGGTTACAGTAAGCTGTTTTATGAGAAAACATCTCGGCTTTTGCACATTTTTATGGCAAAAGACCTAAGAGGAATCTGAAACCTATTCGTAACCCTTTGTACAGCAATAACGAAAGATGAGGAACGACGTAGAACGATCGTATTATAGTTACATAACGTTCCAAACACAGCCCAAACATGGATGGTGTTCATAACTAACAGTACACATTTAATGCGAAAATAATGGGAATGCTAACAACAGTGACACGGTGGAAATTTGCAGTTACACAAATATTTACAAAATAGCAGCTGCAAATTTGCATAGATTATGTGCCATGACAGGTGCCCGGAATGATGAATGAGACTGTCACATAACTATACATTTTTCCTCATGATGGTTACTGAAGTCGTCATCGATTCGTAACTATACTGGTTGTGACACTGCCACACAGCTGCGTGACGAAAAAAGGCTAGGAAAAAAGCAGCAAAAAGAACCCGTTGCCATGCAATTTTCCTGGACATTTCTCACATTCAATGGCACTAACAATGTCGAACACGATCCAGGTATCGACAGACTTGTTGTTTATTTGCAAGTCTTTGACACCTCGTTGTTTTCTGTTTGTTTTTTGTTCACAAAGATCCTTTGAACTCATCAAAGTGGAAAAAAATGAGCACATGGAACCATTTGTAGTCATGCAAAACAGTAAAGCCAAGAAATAACAGCTCGGAAGGGTTCTGCGCAGAAAATTTGTTAGTCTACTGGTTACCTTTTTGAAATCAGTTTTCTAGATTTTGTTATTTCCTGAAAGGGTCAAATGAACGGAAAATCCAACACAATGAAATTAAAATATGGGGCATTACATAGCAACCTCATTTTTTATACATCATAAATTTTCAAGCTTTACACTCTCAGGCTTAGTGAAGGGAAACTTGTTCTTTCTTCCTCTCTTCCTCAGATGACTACGAAAAGAGCCTTCAAAACCATTATTATATTATTTTTCTTATATGAACATTCTGATAGCCGTGAATATTCCTCAGCAGCTGACCAATTTTTTCTGTTCGTTCCCTGCATTTACATAAGTATTTATAAGGCAAAAACGCTGTCTGCCAAACAGCAGATAGCCTTCTGGAAGTGTTCTCACGTGTATGTCTACAACAACGTTCTAATCCGGAACACAAACAAGCGAACAAGAAAAGTGAAGCTAAGAATTGCCAGCCGTCTCACAATGTTCTTTGACCTCGAGAATGCGACAAAGGTGAACGAAAAAAAGCCTCAAGAATGGTGATGACCTGTAAGAAACGAGGTAGATGGCAGAGGCAGAGAAACGGTAGGGTGAAGAGCAGTTTTCCTCAATTTATTTGTAAGCTCTGCAAGTTCGTTTTCAGAATGGCGTAAATTACTAGATGTTATGAGCTACACTATAATATATGTAGGTCAAGTAGGCAATCATGTACTCAAGCCAAGCGAGGAAAAGTCAGCTAAACTGGAACACGCCATTTCTATCGGTTTCAGTGAATGTTTAAAGATATCAAATGTTACGTATGCGGATATCAGGAGTAAACTGTAAAAAATTCAGTTGTTTGCAAAAATGGTAATACAGAAATGCAAATCCTATGGGCAGAAATGTGAGCGCCCCGAAAAATTGTAATAGGCTTACACTGGAATGTATATGAAGAAAAACTACGTCAGCAGTGACCAAATGGTGATTTTGTACATTGCAAAGTCAAGAAACATCTAGCAGAAGCTAAAAAATTTCACTTTCCAGAAAATGCTTGGAGATGGCAGAGGAAAGGGAACAGCAGACATGATATATTTTGGATTTTTTGCTGGAAAATGAAGGTTCCCAGACAATAATCGATAATAAAAATAAACCCTCTGGTTTACGGCTACGCGCCGATCATTATCGCATCAATTTTTCCATGGCAGAAGAAAATTGACTTGAATACGCTGCTGTACCGTTTTTTTTATCTTCAGTCGTGCCCTCGCATTCTTATCAACACCCAGAACTCTCCTTACTGTTTGCATGTTTGTTTACGCAGTAATCATAACCCCAATAACAAACAATTCTTCAAAACATCAACATAAATACATCTCAGATCGCAGAAAACAAATTCTGTGCTCGAAGAAGATGTTGATAAAAAATCAAAAAGTATGTCCATAAACCGAAACATTACCCACAAAGCCGTGGCTCTTGAAATGTTTTTGAAAATTCCCCATTCTACCCTCAGGCCGAATTTGAAGAGTTGATGTGAGCAAATACATATGAACTAACGCTTTCAAAAAAAGAGGATCGTTTTACAAAGTGCGCATAAACTTTAGAGAATCAGTCTTCCAAACGCTACTAATCTATTCCTATGATAGCAAGATAATAAAATTATCTTATCTGCATACAATCCATTCAGTTCTTCAAGAATGCATCGGTTTTTGATAAACAAAGTCGTTGGTCGCAATTTATACAGTGAAATCGAGAAACTCCTCAAGAATTGAGCTATTAGAATATCTACCTATGGACCAACCAGACAGACCACGTTACACATATGTACCACCGACACAACGAGTATAGAAGTATTGTGAGGTTTTCATGGTTTTTCATGATGGTGTTTAAATACGTGATTTCACATAAACATTGTAGGCTGAACTAATATCACGGGCAAAATATTTG